TTTCACAACTCCCTGCTTTGCACCAGAGATTGGGTATGTGTCAGGTTCGGAGGCTCGCATACCCTTAACACGTACCACTCACGGAACCAGCAAAGGACTTCCATTGTAATGGGCCTCATGCAGACAATTTTTCTCAGTGTCCGGCACGCCCAAACCTAGATAAATACAAGTTCATACCAAGTGCACCACCTAAAATCAACCCGTGGACAAGAAACAACATCCAGACAGAAACTGTACTACCTACTAATGCAAATTTAACACAAAATAGTAGCGAACCCTCCCAAGAATCCAATAGCTCCCTACTCTCCGGACTTATCAACTTCAATAGTCTAAAAGATGCGTGGAAAGTCGTTATTAACGGAATCAAGCAATTTAAATCAGCAACCAACCCAATCGAAAAGTTCGGAGTCGTTATAGACGTCTTAGAAAAAATTAGCAACTATTTTTAACAATCCAATCAGTAACAGTCGCAGCTCACTAAAAATCCTCTCTTGAAATGCGAACGGTCTGTTAGGCAAAAAAGAAGAATTTAATGGCCTAATTCAGAAACTGGAACCAGACGTAATTCTCATTCAAGAAACTCACCTGAAGCAGTGCAAAAAGTACTAATAGCAAATTATAATATCTACCGGACAGACAGGGACACAGGAAGAGGAGGAGGAATTTGTACCTATGTCAAAAGAAGTCTTGATCATCAAATTCACCCCAATAATTCAATCTCATTTGAAAGCAACAGCATAATAGTGAAATTCAACAATCAAAGATATATCATCTCTAATATTCGCATCCCACCAAGAAATAACCCGGACAGGACGGAACTAGGAATTCTACTTCCTACAAACTCTTATACAAATATTGAGAGGCGACTTCAACGCCAAACATAGACTATGGAATCGTTACTCATCTAATAAAATAGGCAGGGACATTTTCAACTTCATTCAAAATAGAAATCTTAACATACATGTCACCGATGAGCCCACCCATTACGGGTACAATAGCCACTCTACAATAGACTTTTTTCTTTCCTGTAACCTAACTCCAAACTGCACAATCTCTGCCATTCCAGCCTTAGCATCCGACCACAACCCGATCATGCTTGAAATATCCACTAATGCCTACTCCCCGAATTTGGAACGCTGTGTGGGAATTACAAATTGGCCAAAGTTCTCCGAAATTTTTACCTCTACGATACCAGACAACCCAAAAAATTGAAAAGGAATCCCAAATAGAAGAAGAAATTGATAAATTGACCCAAAAATATCAACATGCCATCAATCTAGTTACCAATAACATTACTATCAAAAATAATTATATGCCGCTTCCCAGGGAAATCAAGGACAAGATTAGAAGAAAAAACAGGATTCGAAAAATCTGGCAAAACACTGGAGACCCCATTATTAAAAACCAACTCAACAGGATCCAAAACGAAATTAAGAAAAAAGCATCGCAAATTTCAAGCAAGACAGATGGAAAAATTATTTAAATGACTTATCTACAGAAGACAATAGTATTTACGAAATCACTAGAAAGCTCAAAAATAGTTATAAACAAATCCCTAATCTTCCCACCAGCTCCGGCGTAGTATATTCCAACCAAGACAAAGCAAACGCCATCGCAGACACTTTGCAAGAAACATTCATTCATAATCCAGACCCATATGACGAAGACACAATAAATGAAGTCAATAGCCATGTTAACAACACACCTGGACCTCGCAACTTTATACTTTCCTCACAAATCCTATCACCGTAGCGGAATTTATCAATTATTAGAAGGAGAAAAAAGCCCCAGGGTACGACGGGATCACAAATATTGCTCTGAAGAATCTTCCCATCAACGCGATCACATGTATCACTAAAATTATCAACAGCATCATCAACTGGCTTATTATCCTAAAATTTGGAAACACGCAATTATTGTTGTCTTCCGAAAACCTAACTCCAATCCGGCTTTCCCAGAAAATTACCGTCCCATTAGAATACTGAGCAACCTTGCAAAATAGCTGACCGTATCATATTGTACAATATCCAGCAAAAAATTAATTTCTTCAACTATCTGCCTGACGAACAATTTGGCTTCAGAGAAAAACATAGCACCCCACATCAATTATTAAGAGTCATCAACTATATCACGCATGGATTCAACGCCAAACTGCCCACAGGTGCCATATTCCTGGATGTCGCAAAAGCGTTCGACAGGGTATGGCACTAAGGCCTTATATTCAAATTCCTCAAATTAAATTTCCCGGACCACTTCATCCGACTTCTCCGCCTCCTACCTAGATAACAGAACCTTCTCGGTCAAAATTAATAGCAGTCTCTCCTCTAGAAGAAGTACAATTGCAGGTACACCTCAAGGATCAGCACTTTCCGCATATTTTTATAATATATATACTCACGATATTCAAAGAAATCCATCTATCACAGTAGTGCTCTTCGCAGATGATACAGCTATTTTAACTTATGCCTCCATCTTAACTAACGTCTAGCTGCAACTACAAACCTATCTAAATCAACTTGAAGACTGGCTCACCAAATGGCGAATCGCAATTAATACCCAAAAATCCAAAGCAGTTTTATTTAAAAAAGGCAACTCTAATAAAAGACCTCCTAAAGCTATCATTTTCGAATAAGAAATAGAAGGGAAAATCGAAGCAAAATACCTTGGAATAATACTTGACAATAAACTCACTTTTCGTCAGCAATTTAAAGCAACAAAACAAAAACTCAATTACCCAGGGTCAATATGCGTCCCCTCCTAGGAAGAAGAAGCGATATTTCCTTAAGAAACAAAATCATTCTTTATAACCAAGTTTTAAGACCTGCATTACTCTACGGATGTGAAATATGGGGTCATGCCGCAAAGACAAATTTAAAACAACTCCAAGTGATTCAAAATGAAACTTTAAGAGAAATCACTGACGCACCCTGGTTCCTCCCGAATGTAAATATTCCCGACGATCTCAAAGTCAAGCGCATTAACGATTATAGAATATTCGATAATATAATAGAAACCGCAGCTAACTTCTTCAATAAAGTCAGAAACCACAGTAATCATCTAATTGCCTCCCAATTCTAAGCACAAATACCCAGTGGACCGCTTCTTCCGTTTTTTGGCATCAAGGCTGTTCTCCGCAGAATACCCGATAGTTCCAGTTCCGTCCCATACTACACTGTTCTTATTGGCGGAATTATTAGGAAATCTGGAAGCTACTAGTCCCAAATATGTGAATATAATGCTGAGAATTGTTGATATATTGTATATCTTATGTTACTGAATTTTTCTTGAGGAATTTATTAGGGTATCCGACTACGTTCGATACCCTAATTTTTAAAAAGTGTACAAATAAATTAATTTTGGTGTTAATAAGCAGAATGCTACCTAAAATGATAGAAACGGTTAATAAACATATTATTAAAATGTAATTTTTACTTGTTTCTCACATTTTGGATAAAAAATGTATTCAAATTTCAGTATCACGAGATTAGTTCCCTCAAAATGCTTTATCAATATTTTACTTTTATTTTTTTCACTTATAGTTATTAAAGCATAAGGAATAAAATGGACTAAAATCTAAGTAATAAAACAAAATGTCTATTAAATGTACCTGTTTGAGTACATACACTAGCTATTTTTCGAGAAATTTTTCTCTCTTCATTTACAAAATTGTCTGAAAAAATCTTAAATATGTATATAAACCTAAACTTTCAGTCCATTTAATTCCGAATATTCTATAGAATAATGTGTGGGAAGTATCATAAAATTGTTATAGTAATATTTTAAGTTACGGTGTTTTTCGTATTAGAAATGTTGACAAAAACAAGTTTTTCAAAAAACAAATTTAAAGTTTTATCTTTAGAAAATATATTAGAAATTGATATATTACATTGCTAAACGTGCTCTGTTTTGTATATTACACCTTCTGTTAACTCTATTTTAGAAGATTTTTACTTTAAGGAAGCTCTTAATTTTTTTATTGTGATTTTTGCGGAATGTAAAGAATGCAGTTTTGAATCGACAATCCGAGTTTTATCAATACAGTTATATCCCTTGATAGTATATTGCCCATGTTTCATATTAAGTATTGCCGATATTTTTAACATACCCAAAAATCCATTATTAAACTGTATTACTCCTATATAGGAACCAAAACACAATGTTGTCAACTCAACAAACACTTGTTTTGGTATGATACTTTTGGCATGACACTTATTAAAACTCTCATTGTTTTGAGTTTCGAAACACACTGGACAGGATAATGCCGGAAATACAGATTTTAGAATTTCAACATCGAATATTCTATTACCAGCTTCATTACCAGCAACATTATTAGCTTTATTATAATTTTCAGAAAATTTAATTGTTTCCTAGTTTCGATTCACTGGCAAAAACTTTCACAGTATATCTGTTTCCAGCAAATCGCCATTTTTTAGAACGAAAAGTTCCACGCTGACCCATTACGACATTTACAATAATAAAGTGAAAATATTTTTATCACAATGTTAAAATAACAAAGCAGAATAAGATAAAAAATAATACTGAATAACAGCAAGCACGCTAAATCAGAATGTAAAGACAAACGGAAATGTCAAATCTTTCGAAAGTAATTTTGCTTCCAAGCACATAATAATAATATATATATTTCAAATCATCTTTTGAATATCGCCAACAGTATTCAAATGAAATATTCTTATTTAGAGCAGTCTGTGTCCCTTAAATATCAATTTCCTGCCATTTAAACAGCAACTTCCGTCCTTTTAACCAGCAACTTCCGGTTCATGGTGTAGAACAAAAACTGCCATAACTCTAATCACCGGAGAGACAAAACAAAAATAGTTTTTGGAAGCTAAAAATATAAGCTTTAAATTAAAGTAATAAAATTTTTTTGAACAATTTCTTTAAAATTGACGATCAGAACGTAGTCGGATACCTTAATGATTGTCAGCTATCCAATAATGGAAATGAATGTTTTTTCTCAGGATCATTTCTGCTCAACTCTTAAAAGTCGAGTATTCTGTACGAAAATGATATGTGCCTTAATTTAAACATCCCACCTGCGAACGAAATGTATAATATTCTGCCAAACTGTGGTAAATGATGGATGAAACAGCGGTGAAGGTAGTTGTGAGGTGAGTATTCTATCAGACTGACATTCCAATAACTAACAATTTTTATTCATTTTTTTGGCCAAATTAGGCATTGCGAATTACTGTTGACATCATTAAACTGAATTCATGTAGGCGGCCGAAATACATCTTACTTTCAACAATATGATGTAGAAAGGGGGGGGGGAATCGGAAGCAATATTGATAATTCTTCTTGTGTATTTTATAATCGTTAATATGAATAAAATATGCTACTTACGTGAGCTGGTCTTTTATCTCTTTTTCACTTTCGGTTTTGGTTTTGCGAAAAAGAGGTTATGGAGAATATGTTTAACGAATCAATATATCACATTAATGCTTTACATATTATAATAATGTGTTTATTAAAAATGGGCAGCAGACGAAATAAATACTTAAGTGGTGAAATAAACCATTTTGAAAATTAAGAGTTTTTTTGTATTTTAATTCAAAACAACATAAAATGTATAAAACCTGATGGCTGATGAACTTCAATGATGAATGGCGATTTACTTAAATTTTTTACAACTTATAATTGTAAAGTTTTCAAAATAGAAAGTATATATCTGTTTCCCGAAAAACATATCATATGTATACTAGAATTTTACTGGCACTCTACTTTTGATTTCTTGATGACTGTAATTTTTATTTGGTGCTTGTTTGACAATTGACAGCATTCTTAATCCAAACAGTTAAGTTAGGAAATGTCTTTCTGTTTTATAGAGAAACATGTTTGAAATAGAAAGTAATTTTCATAATTATATTATTATTGGCATCATTATAATGATTATATTACTTGCTCTTAGCCCAAAGTGCTATTGGTATCAAACCATGATTTTGCATTGATTAGCTATAAATGCTGTCCACTGTGAATGTGTTCTTTCACTTTTCATTTGAGCCTGTTACTATTTGGCAAAATATAAGATATTGATTTTTCAAATTTAATTTGCCTGTTATTGATTGACAAATTAAACTACGACTCCAATTATCTGAACTCGACTATCAAAATCGCTTGCAGAATTTCAGAACTGAAAAGGAAAAAAAAAAAAAAAAAAGCTCAAGAAAAAGAGAAGATGAGGATGACGTGCCACTTGAGGAATTAAGAAACATTCTTTTGAAAATTCCTGGATGTTCAGAAGTTAGTGCTGAGGATACAGCAGAATGAATGGTGTGTGATTCATCAGACCATGCATTTCAAATTCTAAGGTGAAGAAGGTGTGAGAAAAGAAAGTGTGGAGGAAGATGACTTTAATGCTGGACCATTGGCTGGTGAAGTGTTTGCTGGCCTTGAAACTGTGTTAAAGTAGATGGAGCATCAAACTGAGTGTGACTACATTCACCTTCTCATTGTCAAGCAGATGTGCAACTTGGCTGCTGGAAAACAGATGAAGACAGTCAAACAGCTTATTTTGACCGAGATTTTCAGCAAGCAGCGACTTTCAGCACTTGTAAGTATTGTACAGTTCGCTATATAACATGTACATAAAAGTGTTTCATTTTCATTTTAATTAAAACCTCGTTTTCTTTAAAAATAGTTTTTTCCCTCCCATTTTCAACATACAGTAACTAATTAAAGTTTATGTAGACGATTTCTTTGAAAAAAATCCAATTATCTGAATTTTTGATTATCCGAATGGGGTCTCTTCCTAATTGATTCGGACAACTGGAGTTCTGCTGCGTTTAAAAGCAATAGATGTAATTATTAAGAATATTATTCTTTTACCTTTACATTTAGGACTGATTTAAATAAAAATGCATTTAATTCGTGATATATCCAATTAAACATGCTAAATATTTTTATAGACTTGGGTTACATATTTTTTCACTTTTCATATACACAGATGTTATAGTATTAGTTTAAATGTATATTCGTCTAATATCTTATTAAATATAATATCCTATAAATGTTTCGCTATTCCACTGGGCTTTCTCTATTAATAATCTCTCCTGATAAACATTATTATCTGAAAGAGGTCTTCTCGACAATCATTAAAATCTGAACTCTTACAGATTTTTTTAAAATGTACTTTAGTTCTATCATTTAGCTTTTCTTCTGCTGGGATGTACATCTGAGGCACCACCATTAATACTAGAATATACCATGATAATAGTTGTCTTGAGCACAATACTGCTTATAGTGAATTTATAGGGGGATTTTCTTATTTCTTTAATTAACATTAAAATCTACAAAGCTTTTGTATTAATTAATTATGTGCTCTGTTTTTTTTAAAAATTATACAACTTTTTTTTTTTTAATTTTGCAATTTTCAAACTGCTGTATTGATATACAAAATGCAGCAAAGTTGCATTATTGCTTTTGTTTCATATTTGTTCATACTTGGAATTTATTGTTCTGGTTTGTGCTGTTTATTAAAGAGTATTGATTTTGTTTATTCTTTTATATATATATTATATATATGTATTGTTGTATCTATATGTTATGTGTATATATTTATGAGTATTTAAATTCTTTTTACTACATTGTTGTCTTAATTTTTTATTTATTTTGTATTTGTTGTCACATTTATGTTTGTGCATGTGTACTTATATCTAATATGGACTTGCTGATTATGTTAATCTGAGAATGACAAATGCTCAGAATGTAAAAATAGCTTAAGTGAAAGCGAGATACACCTTCTTGTGACTGATCTTTCCTAAATTTCCTGGAATGCTCCTCTTATATAAATACTGGTAAGAGAGCCTGGGCTATTGTTGCAATTTTAGTTGTTATTCAACTGCAGAATTTAGCTGAATAGTGAGTTTCCTGTAAGCGATTTTTGGCAATTGCCAATATTTTTTGCACCGTAAGAAGAAACTACTTATATCTACATTCTACTTAAGGTGTTTAAATTGCTGTTTGTAATTAGTTTGATAGTTAATTTCGTCCTGTTATTGAAAGTGATCATTCAAAGAGATTAATCAAAGAGATAACTGATAATCTCTAACAATTATTTTTCTAGTTTATTTATCCTAGTATTATTTTCCTAGTTTATTTATCATATTTTTATATGGAATCTGGTACATTTCTAAAAATTCTTATGAGATAATTTTCTTTATATAGAATCCGTCCTCAAATTTCTCGTGATATATTAGATTTGTGCCATGTCTGTACAAGAACGGTGCCAAATGTTCCCCAAATCTGGATTGGGAATGAGCAATCATACACATTTGATCAAGTGTTTGACATGCCAACTCAACAGAGTGAAATATTTGAAAGCTGTGTCAAAGATCTTGTGGATGGGTAAGAGATTGTTAAATTTTTCAAAATATGCTGTGTGTGACTTCTAATATTTGCTTTTGAGCAAAAATATTGTAAAATTGAGTTGTTTTATTTACATACATTAAATATGCAAATTTGAAAGTTCTCAATTCCTGCATTCAGATGGCAGCTACATTGCTTCTATCCTTTTTAAAATTTACATCTAAATTGACTAAGTAATAATCTTTGTAGGATTAAAATGCTACAAAGCAATAATAAATAATAATAACTGAATAAACAATAATATATATATAATAAGCAATATAGCTGTGCAATATATATAATAAGAATATAGCAATAACTGAATAAAGAGCTGATCTTTGGAATATGGTAACTGGTAGTTTGGCGAAATTTTGGAGGCGATAAAGATTACTACCTAGGACTTTGGTAATAATGTGAGAAGTACTCAGTTCCGATTACGCATTATTTTGTGTGAGGGAAATGAGAGATCATGAGATATGTCATGTGACATTAATGGACGATTTACAGTTCTTTACTCGGAAAAGGGGGGAAATCGGGGAAAAAATCTGTAAATTTTGTATTTAGCTTTATTCTGTGTTGTGTGAAACAGTGTTGGTTAATTTTTGAATCCCATGGCCGTAATTAAAGTGAATTCGAAATGGGTATTTAGGTATTGTGATAAAGAGAATTTTGCTTTTTATTTATCGGAGGAAGTATGGAGGAAAAATTAGATTAGGATGTAAGCTAATTTTATTATTTAATTGTATGTGCTTATTTATTTATTATAAGTAGTGTTTTTGAATTTAATTATTTTTAATTAAATGATAGTATTTTGTGTGAATTATATGTTTGTAGCAATTTGGTATACGTTGCAGTGGAAGTAAACGTGCATGGAAATAATTTAAATATTGACACTAAGTATTTGTAACCATTTGTACGGGGTTCGTACGGTCCTTAAAAGTCCTTAAATTTTTCAAAATGATTTTTGGTCCTTAAAAGTCCTTAATTTTGGTCAAAATGAATAAATGGTCCTAATTTTTCTCATTTGACATTCTTATCATTTCTAATGATTGCCATTCTAAGTGTGAATTGCAATTTCTCATGAATATGGAAATTAAAATTACACGGACTCTTAACCAATCTGTTGGCGGATTTGCGTTGCAAACGATAAAAAATTAATTACCTAGCCTAGAATGAAAGTATCGGGGTCTGATTGGCTATTCACCCAATGTTTTCGAAACAGGTGTTATCCATAAATTTAGGCAGATTGTGACGAAGCGTGTGAAGCGGGAAGTTCTTTAAGAGGCGAAAAGTGATGATGAAGGTGCTCGAGGAAAAAAAAGGGTGGGGGATTCTGAAAATATTTGCCAAAATTAGAACAATTCCAACCTGGAAGGCCACAACCCCTTCCGACGCCAATAGGAACGAGATGCCTGGAAAGTGCATTTTCAATAAACTGTGGCTTCATCAAGCTGGACTACAAAGACTGGATATTGATGGATGACAATCCTTATAAAGCTAAATGGCGGTCTTTGTCTGAAACAAATTGAAAATTTCTAGGAATGGGAGAGTCAGCGCTGAAAATTTCACATGAAAAGCTAAGTTTCGTTTTATCATTTCAATTTATTTTTACATGGTTTTGCTTACCTTAATTTCTGTGTTTGTTTGAATTAAGCCTTAAATTAATTTTTGATCACCTATGGAGTTTATTCTCGGTTGATCTTTACATTACGGTAACTTGGCGATTTTTTGGCGAAAATTTGGCGACCAACTCCCCTACAGCAACCCTCTATTTTTTTTTCCCCGCCGCCATTTTGTCTTCACGAAGTAAAGACATGTTTCTTTTCTTCTTATCTACTGAACACTTCTTCCAACAATCTACTAGCCGAATTACACTTATGCTAGAAATTTTATCAAACAAAACTGCTAATCATGACAAATATTCACTGCAAAAAATTCGGAAAAAGTGCACAATACCATACACCTTACGCGTTTTTCAAAATAAAACATACACATAAACCATGTACACGCCAACTTATTTTACTTAAAAAAAACATCCCAGAATTGCACAAAAATGGCATTGCGCACCACTCTTCACTATATCCATGTACACTGCTTTTTTCTCATAAATTCGAAAAATTTCACGAAAAATACATGACAATTTTCTCAATCTTTAAAACCGGTTAAAAAGGAACATATATGAAATTACCTGATCGCGAAAAAAGTATATACCCTTTCCACAGTATGAACATTTCCACATATAAAATAAATAAAAATATCCAAAACTTTTACCTCTAAATCATCTATTACATATACAGTCACCAACGAATTCATACATGAAGCATTACAAATATTTATTATCAAATATTTAAATTATTTCCATGCACATTTATTTCAACTTAAACATACACCAAATTCTACAAGTAATAAAATTCACAAAATAACTATCATTTCATTAAAATATAATTAAATCAAAAACACCACTTAAAGATAACATGAGCACATACATTCAATTAATAAAAAATTACCTTACAATCCTAATTACTTTAAACTAAATCATTGCTAATAACAATTTCCCATAATACAAATTCCTTCCACCTTACATTTCACAATGCATAAAAATAATTAAAAAACTAACTTACTAATCTCCTTCAGAATCTTCATTACGTGGCGGATACACTTTTCTTCATTCTCTTTCAGAATCTTTAAAATCATACTTATCTTTCAAAGCAAGATACCAGGTAAAATAAATAACATAATAAAACATGTTTATTTCTCTCTCACAAACCTTAAAAAAACATTTCTTACTATCCTTTTCAATACCACTAAATACCCATTTCGAATTCACTTTACTTACGGCCATGGGATCCAAAAATTCACAAACACTATTTCACACAACACAGAATAAAGCCAAATACAAAATTCCAGATTTTTTTCCGATTTCCCCCTTTTCCGATTAAAGAACCGTAATCGTCCATTAATATCACATGACATATCCCATGATCTCTCATTTCCCCCACACAAAATAATGCGTAATCGGAACTCAGTACTGCTCACATTATTACCAAAGTCCCAGGTAATAACCTTTATCGCCTCCAAAATGTCGCCAAACTACCAGTTACCGTAATGTAAAGATCAACCTTATTCTCTTTTGCACATATATGTATATTCTCCTTTGCACATATATATGTATGTATGGGATATCGGGATTATGAGTTTATTTCTGCAGAGGGTCTGTTATCAATTTCGCGGGAAATCTATTGGCTCCATTTCGATTTGAGGTCGCCAAGGGCAAATTCGGTAATGCTAGCCGAAAAAAAGTGAAGTTCGGAAATACGTTTTGAAGCTTCAATAGACAATTAAGTATTTGGTTTAATCCTATGCACAAGGTATCCGTTGCATAAGGGATTTGGCTACTTTTGGCAACTTTATGATGAGCAGTAAACGGGACGTATACGATGAGTAGTTAAACGGGTCATTTTGGTGTTGGCGATAGTTTTCAAAATTGCACCAAGGCTGCACCGTATACTAGAATTTTATTAAGTATTTTTATAAAAGGAATACTGCTTTCAGAAGAATGTTATTGAATTTGGTACTTTTCCGTTTCGCCGGCGCAAATCTCGCCAAGCAGACTTTATTGGCGACAACATACAGTATACACATAAAAAATATTAAAAAAATGTTAGTTTAAGAATTCTTTTTAAAAAGAAGGCAAAACATTTAATATCGCTTAAAATTTTATAAAAAGCCAATAAATAAAGACAACATAAATTTGTAAAAAGACATTAAGAATTTACTATGCTTTCATTGTTCAACATCCTGATTCGCCGGTTCATATCACGTGACCCCAAGCGATCTCATCTCACGTAAACTACTCTACAAAATCTAATGCTCTAGTAATTATCTACATTAATTTCAAGTTAAATCTTAAATTAAATATTATGGAATACAAATTTAAATACTAGAATTATTTTCAATTCGTACGAATAGCGTACTCAGAAATTATGTAAAACTGCAATGCTTTACTTCACTAGAGCATTTCTCATTAGAATTGATGAATTTAACCCTTGACTTCACTTTTTCTATATTTTCGGCTTCGGGTAAGTGCTGTGAGTGCTCCTAATTAACTTAATTACCGAAAATTGCCTTAAACATAAAACTGAACTATCTGATAAAAATTCTATGTAATGATATGCCAGTATTGAAAGAAACAATCAATCTGATAAGAAAAAGCTGCGACTTGTTTTGAAAATGAGGCGTAAAAGGTTACCAGCGAGAATATTTCGTTTGGCATGGGTTGTACCATTATTGGCGACTTTATCGCTTGCGCCAGCAAAACGGAAAAGTACCTTGAATTTTAATATTGCATCAGTTATCCAAATAGTTGTCGATATAAAATTTCATTGTGATAATGATTGAAATTATCTTTTGTTATTAAGCTAATTTCACCTATTTTATAACTAGAATTAAAATAAAAGCTAAATCCTGATAAAAAGTCAGTGTTGAAATGATAAGGAAAAAATAAAAGAAACGGAAGATTAATAAATTAGAAGAAAATGACGATAGCGGAATGGTGCTACACGGAGAAAACGTGTTCATGGTGTTGCCAATATATAGCATTCTTATGGCAATTTGAGCGATGTAACGGAATTCTGCAGGAAGCTTGCCTGAATATTTCGCGATGTCGCAATTTTTATCGAGATAGTACATTTTTTAAGTGTTAAAATATAATGCCTAAAAAAATCATACATTTTGTTTAACAATAAAACCAATTATTGCGAATTATCTTTGCTCCATCATCTGATAGATAAAGAAATAATGTTTTAATTAAAATTTTCTGCTGTGAAGTTCTGCTTTTACCGATGGTTGCAAAATGTCCCAGCAGTGTAAAGAGCCATTGAGATATGGGATGACTTGCTACATTACATTGAAAAAGTTGAAATGGGGCAGTTTAAAAAAAATTCATTGAAATCGTTCTCAAATATTTTGGAGAGAGCTAAGGCTAAAACACTTCTTATAAA